AGGATCATGACCTGAGCCAAAGGCAGACGCTTAACCGACTGAGCCACCCAGGCGCCCTCACTTGTTTGTTTATTGTGAACATGGATCCTTTCTCAGAAAGCTACTGGAGGATACTAGAAACATGAATTCTTTCTCAAAATTCTTTCCCCAAATTCCTGTTTTATTCCCAGTGATGATTTTTAAGTAACTTTCGTGGAGTGTCATTTCTTTAGATATTTGGGGACGTGCCTTGGAGAGTCGGTGGAAGTGTCGGGGGTGGGAGTGGAGTGAGAGAAGGAGCCAGGCTCAGATAGCCTGTGTTGTGATACTGCTTTTTTTTCTTCAAGAGATTTTTTTTCACCCTTACTGCCTATGCTGCTGCAGTCAGCATCCAATAGAGATGTGTTCTGGGCTCATGAGCCAATTGTCTTTCTCCTCGCTGCAGCCTGAAGTCTGAGAGAGGGCTGATGGCTGTGAACAATTTTAGCAAATTGTCATGGGGATGTGGGGGGAGGGGAGCGCTTTCCCCACAGGAACAGAGCCAGTGTCATTGAGCACATTTTGTTCAAGTACAGAGTTGACCTGTCTGAAGGAGACAGTGGTCAGCAGTGGTAAGAACGTTTGTCGCCTCACCCTTTCTTCGTGCTCTGTCATTGTTGTTTATGGGAAGAAGTAGCACTTAATCGCTGGACTTGAGATCAGATCTGTGAGGTCAGCAAGCGACAACATTTGTTTTCAGTTAGGGAATCCCAGAGGTTAACAGAGGAGTCTGGATGAAAAATTGGGGGAAAGAAAAAGTGTTTGATATTCGGCAAAGACGATGACGTCTCTAAAAGGTTTTTAAAGAGCAGTATAGTGTAATAATTTCTGCATGCAATTGACAAACAAAATTTTGGACATCTGTTACAGTTGAGAAAATTAAGCACTAATCCTATGCATAGTATACACTATCCCAACTAGTGGACTTGGCTGAAAGATTTACAATGGAAATATTGAAATGGGACTTTAAAAATATTGCATAATATTATTCTTTTAAGTTTATCATAACTAATAATGAATCTTATTTTAGGTATGTAAAAATAGTGCTACCTTATATTTGTAGGTATGTGTATCTAGAAGGTATGAACATAGCAAATGCCTCATATAAATACAAGGTGATAGTGTTATTAAACTGCACCAAGATGTTTTACCTCTTTGATTTTCTTTAATTTATTTTATATTGCTGAATAAAAGACTTATTCCTTAAAACCGGTCAGGATATCCTCTCTATATCACTAACTTCTATTTTTCATTTTATATATATAAAGAATATAGATACACATTTATGTATGTTTATATAAATATACATTTATATATACATATATATTTATATATACACTTATATAAGTCAGTAAATATATATATAAAGAATATATATATTCTTTTTTTCTATATAAAGTCACCTTTTCTGTATATGTGATATATCCATTATCCATTGGTATATCCATTGTTATATCCAAAAATCCATTTGTGATATAACCAAATCACAGAGGCCAGTCAGGAGAATTGACTCCTTTCTTCATGTTCTGTAGGAATGCTAAACCTTTGTTCCTGGTGTGGCCTGAAAGTCCAATGAGGAAATTAAAACAGGAAAAGTAGTGTTTGGTGTAAAGAATATTTATCTTTCCGCATGGTAAAACTCTGAAATAGGTACAGGGTGCAAACACAACAACAACAACAACAAAATTCCCATTTTGTTATCTGAGTTAAAGGGCTATAATATTTGAGAATAAAAAGAAAATAGAAAAATTATTGTTAACATGTTAATATTATATATTTACTATATTATACTAAAACTAAAATCATAGATAATCCAAGAACCTCTTGCCTCGCTAGGTGTCTTGTTGAAATGGGTAGCGTGAAGCAGAATTTTAACTTGTCTGGCGTTCAGTTATTTTCTGCTGTTGACCCTATAGTATAAGTCCTGCTGAAGGAAAAAATAAATGACAGATAAACTGAAATTTATAAAAGAATCTAATGCTTTCCATTACACTTTGGAAATACCATGTGGGTTAGTCTTCTCCAAAATCAGTTGTTATATTGTGAAACATTTTTTCCTTTGTAGACCTCAACAGAGATGGATGCATTAATTTGGTTCTGACCTATTCTGGTTAGAGTCATCCATGTTTTAGTGTGAGTAATGATTAGAAAAACATACATACATGATGTAAAAGTGATCATCAGCACGAATGAATCTCTCTGGCATGGTGGTGAACAGTGCCAGCTCTGTAGTTAGACTGCTTTCATTTGGTTATGTGCCCTTGGACAAGCAGCCCCCTCCCCACACCCCCACCATCTCCTCCCCACATACCTTTGGAGGGGTATTTAAAGATGGAGGGCTTTTGCGTTGCCAATGCACTAGGACTGTAAAGGACTGTTTAAACAAGTCTTCCAGAAGATTGTTAAGGAAAAAAATTAAATGCAATTGACTTGAGACATTTACCTTCTTTTTACCCTCAGGAAATCCTTAGAAATATAACAGATATAGTCATGTGGTAATCCACCTAATAATGGTATGATGATGAATTGGGTACTATTTCTAAAACATTTTGTATTTCTCAATTGGAAGGCATGTGCTACAAATAGAGCACTAAATTTTATTATGTCAGTGCTAGGGTTTTTAATTATTAGCCAAGATCTAAGAGTGTCTGATTTGGATGCCATAAAACTTCAGAAGTGTTTCTGCTACAAACAGTTTAGAAGTCTGACCGTTGCTGTACCGAAAAAATAATGAGACAATTGAAAAAATAATAGAAACATAGTGACCTGGCATTTCCAATTTTATGATGCCATAAAAAAGCAGCCAAGAAATGTTGGACTGTTTAATGATGCTGGCACCTACCAAATGTCACTGGGCTTTCACAAGGTCGTGGAGACTCTGGTTTGACTCAGGGATGTTGGCCAGACCCATGTTGGGAACGGAGGAAGACTGTGGAATAGGGACAGACAGTAGGTGCCAATTAAACCCTTCACTTAACTTCATACAGTAGGCTACACACTTCTGTGGGATTCTGCGGGGTAGAGGAGAGGCCACGGGTGGGTGTAACTAAAAGGTGAGCCCATTTCTTCTTACAGCATCCCATCACAAACATTTCTTAACATAAGATCCTTGTGGGCCCTCACTGAAGAGACTAAAATTTCTTCAGATGACTGTCAGCTAAAGCTGTGTGTTGATGTAACTGTTGCGGTCACAGTTGTATGTATATGTGATCTCTCACAGACAAAAGCTGCTGGAGAAAGGAGTGGTATTTTTGTCACAAGAATGTGTGTGATTTGTTGCCTTTTTCCCTTTCCCCACCCCCTCAGACTCTCATGCCTTACATAATACTTCTTGAGATGTGTAGAGTTTCAGTTATGCCATGTTCAAGATGATTAATGGGAGTTGTGCAATTAAAGCTCCTAAGTTCTCTGGGGAAAAAAGTCATAGTATCCCGATGTTTGAGTTAGAGTATGTTGAGTTTGCGTCAGCATTGAGGATATTTTGGGATATTGTAAATGTCACCATTGGTTTTAATGTCCAAGAATCTTCATCATCACACTTAGGAATGTTCTATGAAATAGTGCCTAGAACAGCCTTTGAATACTAGCTAGAAACGTCGAAACCTAAAATTGCTGGGTTGAGATCACATTAGACTCTGACGAGAAAATGTTTAACCCGAGTGAAACAGAGTCTGTTACATTCCTTCAGGCCATGGTAAAATTACAAATTTGAACTCAACAGATTGTGTGTAGGTACCTGGGTTTGTATTTTTCTTTCTTTTCCTCTCAGTCTCTGTCATTGTTAAGCCATAGTGTATGTGTGAATATGAACTTTTTATGGGATCAAGAAAGGGAAAAATCTAAAGTGGCCTTCTATTGTGTTTCATTCAAAAATATTTTGAATCTCGGGTAAAATAATTTAAGAAATTGAGACTATTTCAATAAAAATACATTCATAAATGTCTGCTTTTTTCTCTCATTGATAGAAAATGTTCCCAGCTCTTGTGTTGACCTCTGAGCTCTAAGCATTTGGCCATATGTTGATTGAATGAATGTATAGTAATTTACACCTAAAAAGTTAAGCTTTAAATATTGATTAGTGTTACTGTATTTACTTCATGTTAAGTTTAGAAGCCTAGAGATTATTAAATGCCCACCAAAATAAAAGGAGAATTGACTCCTTTCTTCATGTTCTGTAGGAATGCTAAACCTTTGTTCCTGGTGTGGCCTGAAAGTCCAATGAGGAAATTAAAACAGGAAAAGTAGTGTTTGGTGTAAAGAATATTTATCTTTCCGCATGGTAAAACTCTGAAATAGGTACAGGGTGCAAACACAACAACAACAACAACAAAATTCCCATTTTGTTATCTGAGTTAAAGGGCTATAATATTTGAGAATAAAAAGAAAATAGAAAAATTATTGTTAACATGTTAATATTATATATTTACTATATTATACTAAAATATAGTAAATACATGGTATTGGCTTATTAAGAGTATATATACTATATATATATATATATATACACACACACACAATATATAGTATAATACACTTTATAAAACACATCAAAACAAAACAATAACATAAAATCAGTGAAATCTCCATGGAGATTTTCTAAGAAAAAAAATGAAAATATCTGTTCAACTATATTAGGGATTTATACCAAATGATAGTTCAGTGTTCTTTGGGGTTTTATTCTGGAGCTTTCTATAAGTCCTTATGTGTTTTTCCAAATAAAACATGAAATGTAAATTTTAAGTCTTATATTCTAGGTTTCTTAAATTTGTAACATGAACAGAATCTAAGTTTGTAATACTTATGCTGCTCTTAGAAATAGGTACATAACTTGGGTGAATATATGTGTGTGTGTGTGTATAATTACTTACATATATATGTATACATTTGCATATGACTAAAAACAACATTATGCAGTGGGTCCACAGGAATTTCAGGTGGTGGTCAGAAGTCGTTTGTTATTTTTCTGGGTTCTCTGGCTACTTAATTTACCTTTCTCAGCAGCTTCTTTTCCAAAGTAGGGGCTATATGTCTCATGTTTAGTTATCCTGAAAAAAACTTTCTGTAGGGAAGTAAAACCAAGAAAATGTTACTTACCCTTAAAGTCAGCATAGCCAGTATTCTAGTTAACAGGTGAATGGAGCTATTAATATGATTTTGGAATTTAATTATTTGCTTTTTTACATACTACAGCCTTTATTTGTTTTAATTTCAAATTAGAGAAAAATCAACAAACATTGAAATTCACATGTTCATACCTTAAAAATTTTTAGAAGCCATAACTATTAGAATTCGACAAAATTAGAAGGAAAAGCTGGTCAACCATCCACTCTTTTTGAGTCAGGTTTTATAGGACAAATCTATTATCTTATGTTCGAGGAAATTGACAGACATTTAAATGTAGTATAAAAATACTTAAAGCTAATTACAAATAACTTTGGGTTGGCAGTTTTTAATTGCGTGCCCCTTTTATGGACTGAATGTTTGCTTCCCCCTAAAATTCTTATGTTGAAGCCTTGTGTCCTGTATGGCTGTATTTGAAGATGGGGCTTCTAAGGAAATAATTAAGATTAAAGTCACAAGAGTGGGACCTTGATCTGATAGGATTAGTGTCCTTATAAGAGACACCAGGGAACAAACTTTCTCTCCTCGTGCATGCACCAAGGAAAGGCTGTCTGAGGAATAGCAAGAAGGTAACTGTCTACAAGCCAGAAAGCACTCTTACCAGAAACTGTGAGAAAATAAATTCCTGTTGTTTAAAACACTCAATATGTGGTATTTTGTTGTGGCAACCAAAGCAGATTAATACAGCCCCTATTAAATTCTGTTAGGTTTAAAGCAGTGGTTGACTCCCAACTGGAGATGATTTTGCCTCCCCCTCACCCCTAGAGAGGTTTGGCAATACCTAGAGACAATTTTCATTGTCATAACTGAGGACAGGAGTACTGCAGGCATTTAGTGAGCCAGGCATGCTGCTAAACATCCTATAGTGCACAGAACAGCTAGCTCCACAGCAAAGCCTCTATGGCCCAAAATGTCAATAGTGTTGAGATTGAGAAAGCTTGAGCTTCCTTTTAGGATGCGTTTGTTCTTGTAAGCTGGAGCAAGTCCTTTATGGAAACAGGTAGATTGTAAAGAAACATACATTTAAAAGCAACAATATCCTGTATGTTAGGTACAGTTAATTTATTTCCAATATTTGCAAGCCAATAAACTGTAATTTCTAGAGTTAATCAAACTCCTGTCCACCTAAATGAAAACAAAACAGTGAGTGTATATGAGTGTGCATGCATATAATTTTTTCTAAAAGTTAATCACATTTTAAACTGCCATAAATTTCCTACCACTAGATGCTTGTGATTTTAAAATATTGTATATGTAAATTTGTTCACCTTGTATTAGAATTGATAATTATAAATTAGCATGGTAGAACCGTAAGAAACATTTTTGGAAATGCATGAAACAGTATTTCCTGACTGCCAATTTTTTTTCCCCTTTGGCAAAATTTTTGTGAGATATTTCTATCATCTTAGCTGAAAAAAAAATAGTAAGAATTTTCAATAGGAAGCTACCAAATTCCTTTGCCAGAGTTTCTGGCCAATATCTGAGCAATGAGTATCTCCAGAAAGTGCTTCAAAAACATTTGT